CCTGCTGAATGGGCAGTGGCCCAGGGCACATGGAGCTGTTGTCAGACTCATGCCAGTTCTACCCTCTGGATGACATCAGGAAAGCTGCTTTACTCTTTTCTTATTTATAAAATGGGAACAATAACAGTACCTTCCTTAGGTTGTTGGGAGGAATAAATGAGATGATGCAAAGAGCTTAGTAGATGAGGGGCAGGGAATGTGTACTCAGCCTGGCACCCAGAAGGCACCCAGCAAACGTCAGTCCCTGTTAGGAGTACTCCTGACCAGGTCTAGTCTGCAGCAGATACTAGCTTGGTACACAGGGCTGTGCTGTGTATCCTCTCACGCCACCCTCCTTCTCTTCGCAGTTGTGAGTACTACGTCAATGACCCTCCTCGAATAGTCCTTGACAAGCTGGAGCGCAGGGGCTTCCGTGTGCTGAGCATGACAGGGGTGGGCCAGACGTTGGTGTGGTGCCTGCACAAGGAGTGACCCACCCACACTGAGGAGCTGCAGTCACCCCTTCTCTGGAGTGGTTGCCATGGGCCCCGACCTCAGGACCCTGCCTCACTCACCGCCCTGCCCATTCTTCCCAAGTCGTCATTTTCCTCGGCCCAGCACCACTGGGCAATGAATGGCCTTCTCTGAAACCTGCCTCAGCCAGTGGGGGGGCAGGGCCCCTGGCCCTGGTGCCCCCAGCTGCCCCTCCAGCTTCAGGCCTGGCACAGGCCCTGGAGGAGGCCGTGTTCTGTGGCAGGCTGAGGAGCTGGCAAGAGCCAGGCTGCCCCTGGCAGGGAGCTGGGTGCCCCCGCGGAGCATGGCTCCCAGGACTGGGCGTGTGGGTCCTGCGTAGCTAGTCCAAGCCAGTAAAGGGCTGTGATGAGTGGCTGCTCCTCTGCTCTGCTGGCCACTGACTCTCACCGTGTGGAGCGCCTCCCTGGGAGGGAGAGCCAGGCCTGGGTGGAGCCCTCCGAGGCAGAACCCAGAAACCAGGGCCACGCTTGGGCAGGCCCACACCCTACACCTATGTATGCAATAGAGGTAGACTCTTTAAAAAAAAAAAGTTTATTGGTGATGTTTAAGAAAAGGGCTGTGGGATGGGAGGGCTGGAGGCAGGAGGCTACGTGGGCTGCCCAGCCTGGTCCTCCTGCTGCATCTGGGCGATCAGCTGCTGCCTCTCAGCTGCCTGGCGCATGCGCATCATGACGAGGCTCTCATAGTCCCTCTCAGACCGCACGGAACCCTGGGGGGACAGAGGGAGGACACGGAGGCGTCAGGGCGGCAGGGCACAGCCCCACGGATTCCAGACTCGGAGGACAGGGCCTAGGCAGAGCCGCCACCAAGAGTCAAGGAGGGAGGATGCCCAGGAAGGGAAGGACCCTGGAACATCCTGCAATCCCAACTCACCCATGTTCCTTCAGAGCAAGCAGGCCTTTGGCCCCAGGCCAGCTTCTCAGCTGGCTCCCCTTCAGCCCATCTCAAGCAGCTATCACCCCGCCCCGCCTCCCCTTTCCCAGGCCCTTCACATCTACAGTCAGCTCAGGTGAATCACTTCCTCATGCTTTAACCAGGCCCTCATCTCCATTTCCTCCACCCCATGGCTTCTGCTTCTCACAAGTTACCAGTGAAGGGGGGTTGTTAGAGGCACAGAAATACACTCCACTCTGCCAGGTGGAGGTGAGAGCACTGACCCCTCCCAGCTGCCCACCCTCCCTGTGGTCTGGCTCCTGCTGAGGATGCACAGGGAGCCCTACCCTAAACACAGCCTCACTCAGCCCCACCCTAGAAGGAGAGAGAAACAAGCATGAGGCCAGCTTGCCTCCTAAAAATACACACCAGGGCTCCTGGAGGGCAGGGCCTGTGGCTTTTTCTTTTATGATCTTGCCCGCACAGTGTGGGGGACTGAACGGTGCAACATTTTCATAATCAAAAGAATAATAAATGACCACCTCAGTGGGCCAAGGCTGTGGTGTGGAGAGGCAGCTCTACAGGAGAGCCCTGAGCTGCCAATGCCATGCCCTGATAAGGTCTGCAGTGGCAATTAAATCACTTCCTCCCTCTGTGCTTCCTCCCTGAAGCTGCATGAAGAAGTATGAAGCCCACCAGAGTTGGCATAGAAGGGAGCCAGGCCAGGGGGGCTGCACAGTAGAGAGCTGCTGAGGCCTGCTTCGCAGTACCCCGAGCTGATGCACCTTCATGGAACAGGCCAGGAAAAAAGTTTGGTGGTCAGTGACTCGGGGAATTAGAAGGGAGTGGCTGGGGTTAAGATGCCAGGCCCTGGACAACTGGTTTGGAGTCGGGTGTACAGAACCAGGAAGTGTTACCCAGCCCAGATCCCCCTGCCCTTCCCGACAGCCCCACACCTCCTCCCAGGCCTCCTCGGCTCCTAGGAGGATTGCCCTCCCAGCCAGGCCCACCTCCTAGCCTTGACCCAGCCCCTTCCCCAGAGGCAGGACCCCAAATAAGGCCCAGGCAGCCCCACAGGAAGGCAGGACACTGGCTCTCAAATGTCCTTTTCTGCCCTGAGGCTATCTGGGAAAATCGAGGAAGGCTGAGGAAATGGAGCAGCCAGGCTTGCTGTCAGGCCAAGGGGAGAGCAATTCTCCCCCCCACAAGGTAATGCTGCTCTGCTGAGAAAACTTGAAGTCACCCTCGGCACGCCCCAAGCCTGGCCCTGGGAGGAGCCAGCCCTTTATAGGCACAGGGCTGCTCCCTGTTAACACACCCTCTGCCTCCTTCCTTCCCCCCATCCCTGCAGGCTCTGCTAATGAGGGCGGATCACTCACACCAGCGACAGGCCTCTTCCTTCCGCAGCAGTCGTTCCACACGCCTGCCTTTCAATTAGCTCCCACCTCCCGGAGCTCCTCACCCCACACCCACGGGAGCTGGGGGGCCAGGCCTGCCTGCAAGGGCGCAGGGCGTTGGGCTGTGGAGGAAGAGGCGGCAGCGTGGTGACACACAAAGCAGGGCTGCCCCAGACAGTCCCCAGAGGAATGTTAGGCACCCCGGTGCCCCGGGGCGTTGCCACTGCCCCAATCCCTGCCTGCGGATGCTGCAATTACCTCAGAGCACGAGACCAGCCTCCCACCTGAGTCAGCCGAAGACAACAACACGTCTCCACCGCCACACACTGGCACAAACAGCCAAGCCACTAATCAGTCTGGGAGCCACCGGCGGAGAGGTCGGCCCCCGCAGGGCCAGGAGCCACCCCGGGTCGCGCCGCAGCTGCCCTCGCTCTGGCTCCACGGAGTGGAGTGCTGTTTCTTCCTCCTGGGGTTTTTCCACTGCCCTATCAAGTAACCAGGCCACTCCTGTCCCTCTGGGAAACTCCCGTCGCCAGGAACTCTCAGCTTTTTCGGCTCTCCTGGACACGCGTACGAAGGTCCCTGTTGAGCAGAAACCCGGAGGCCTCTGTTCTGCCAGCGAAGACTGCCTCCCTGATTCTCGCCGTTCACTGCCTCAGCGGGACCAGATGGCCCACAGCTGCCCTTGAACCGGGCTTCTGAGGTACCAGGCTTGTCTGCTGGCTCCCCGGGGCCCCATGGAGATCTGGCAGAAAGGCTCCTTCCGCAGCGCCTCCTTCTTTAAGCGGCTGAGCCTGCGGCGGCCGCGGAGACTGCGGCGACAGGGCAGGGTGCTCAGCCAGGCCAGCACGGCTGGAGGGGACCACGAGGAGTACAGCAACCGGGAGGTCGTCCGGGAGCTGCGAGGGAGGCCAGATGGCCGGCGCCTGCCACTGTGGGGGGATGAGCAGCCCCGGGCCACCCTGCTGGCCCCGCCCAAACCCCCGCGCCTCTACCGAGAAAGCTCCAGCTGCCCCAACATCCTGGAGTCCCCGTCCACCTACGCCGCAACCTACTCTGCCACCCTGCCCTCCGCGCTCTCCCTGGCGGACGCCCTCTACCAATACTCTGACGAGGACCTTTTGGACACGCCCCCCTTCCAGAGGACACCTGCTCCGGACCTCAGTGATCCCTTCTTCTCCTTCAAAGTTGACCTAGGGATTTCACTTCTTGAGGAAGTTCTACAGATGCTGAGGGAGCAATTTCCCAGTGAGCCCAGCTTCTGAATGGGGGGAGGGTGGGCAGAGGTGGGTGAAAGAGCCAGAAGCCTGGGGACCCAGAGAAGGAGGGGACAGTTGTGGATTAAGGTAGGGATAGGAATCCAGGTCCCTGCCTTCCCTCTGGGCCCTGAACAGTTCTCTGAGTCACCCCAGAGTGGAGGGACAGAGGTACAGAGGCAAGCTGGAAATGTGAGGGGGGCACCTGCTGGCAGGAGCCCTGAAGGCAGCTAGCTAGGCTGGGAAAGGGAGGCCACGCCTGCAACCACAGGGACCAGGCAGAGGCCAGCAGAGAGGGAGGGAGGCATAAGGGGTGAGTCCGGGAGCGGAGGACGCGCAGACTGGGCACGACAGATGGGTGCCCTGCGCCAGCTCTCTCTGAAGCCACTGTCAACAGAACGAGGTTACAGGACAGGTCTGGGCAAAAGTGGTCCAATCCAGGCTGGAGAGGAAAGTGGGAGACCTAAGGGGAGAGGGATGAAACAGGCGTGACCTTGTACAGTATGGTAGCCACTAGCTGCACGTGGCTGTTTAATTGAAATTAAATACAATTAAAAATTCAGCCCTCAGTCACACTAGCCACGTTTCAGGTGCTCAACAGCCACATATGACTAACAGCTACCACACTGGACAGCGCAGAGTGAACGTTAACATCACTGGAGAAAGTTCTACTGGGCAGCACAGGCCTAGACCATAGCCTGGGGTCTGGTGGGGGCAAGGGGGAAGCATATGGGGCCTGCAAGGGAAGGGAGGGGCTGACAGAGTAGGAAGAGTGAGGCAGGTAGAGATACACAGTGTAACTCTGGAAAAACGCCAAACAAATCACTAGCAGAAAAGGGGGCATGAGAGACTCAAAGTGCCAGTACAGCTGCCCAGAGCACGAGCACTCCCTGGTGCCCAAGGAAGGAGGCTCTAGGGAATGCCAGGCACAGACAGCTTGCGAAAGGGGGCTGTGGGGAATTCCCAGAATTATTAGTGACGGGAGCCCTTGGGAAATGCAACAAAAAACAGTGGCAGGTTTCCCTCCTTCCTGCGCCCATGAGAATATGGGAGGGAGGACTGGATCAGGGACAGACACGAAGCTCAGAGCTGTTACAATGAAGAGGCAAGCTGGTCTCCAGAATCCTCACCAGGACTGAGGAACTTTGCTTTGCTCAAAACCTCTGACAACGGGGCTACGACCCCACCCTGAGGCCTGGCCAGAAGACTTGGAGCCAGAGCCCAGTTGGCCGCATGAGCTTCTGACACCCCAGGCCTTTCCAGGTGTGGCAGAGGGGGAAGGGAAGCCTGGACACACAGCATCTCCACAACCCAAACCTGTGGCCTCCCCCTCCCCTCCTCTTGTGTGGCTGTGCTGAACTGAAAGCCCCCGTGGGATGGTGATAAAGAGAGCTCTTTGTAACACAGCCTATGGAGTGCCGTCTGGGGCTCTGAAATGCTGGGCCTTAACCGTGGGGAAACAGTCTCTAAAGAAGGATCCCGAGTCAAGCTCAGACCAGGTCCTTTGCCTCCTCTGTCCAGGGTCTGGGACACACTCCAGAGAGCTCCCCATCCTCATGGCCAGGTGAGGGGCGTGGTGGCGGGGTGCCTGAGGCAATGGGAGCGGAGCCCTTGCTGACCCGCGGAGCGGAACATAAGCCTTCATGGAGCCACGAGGACTAAGAGCCGGTGTTGGGCGTGTGTCAGCTCAAGTGCACGCTTTACCACAAGTCGGGCACCAGGCAGCACCTCAGTGTCGGCAGGGTAGCCAGTGTTATTTCTAAAGAGGAGATATTGCCTCTTGATATTAGGTCCCCATCTGGGACAGCCATGGACACACCTGGAAGGAAGCTGGGGAAGGAAGCAGCCACCCTCATCACCGGCCCTTCCCTGAAGCACCAGGTCATCTCAGCGCCAAATGCTTCACACTGCAACCAAGCGACCCGCAGGCCAGGACAATGCCTTTGGGTGATGATGAGAGACCCCAAAGGGGACCAGAACATGGAAAATAAGGTCTAAGAGGTCTGCATAGGGTGGGCCCCGCTGGCACTCAGAGAGGAAAGGGGATCAGC